TGGCCAAAAACCCTGATTCCAAATCAGCCATAAGGAGGCGTACGAACGCACACACACACAACTTCCTGGTTGTGGTAGTGGTCACCGGGTCGAGTGGGCATCGAGGTATATTGAGCACCTTGGACGTTTGACCCCGTCCAAAGGGCATATGATCCGATGAACTGGACACTGGCTCCCAATGGATTTCTGTTTTCACACACCGCCCCGCTGCCTTGCGGGTCAGACTTTGGCTGGCCAAAGGCTCCAATTTTGGATTCCTAAAGAAAGTTTCACTTGCCTTGGCCTGGACAACCTAGCAATATTACACCCACATGCAAAGCATGGAACGTTTTTTCTTTTTCATAAAGATTGTTGTACCATGATTTGTTTGGCACACATTCTGGCGTCAGATTTGTGTGAAAATAAAATTAAAAAATAGGTATTACTGTTGAGCTGTAATAAGTGCAAAACTCGACTCCCTGACACCGCGTGTGTGGTTGACCGGAAGAACTGAGGATAATGTGTGAAGGGAAATTCTCGAAACTGGTCAGTCCAGATGAAAAATTCAAAACACTTTTCCCCATTCCATTTGCAAATCCCCCCTGCTCCTCCAGACGAGGCCAATGATTACACTCAAGTACTTTCAGATATTTGGCTCACTTTTGGTGTACCAACTTGTTTAAGGTTTCCATAAATATGTCTGATATTGTGTATGTATTGCGTAGGAGTTTAATCTGGACTACTGTCTTGCGGTTTCACTGGCAAGGAAATAGAGTCGCATACAGTACTGCCAAACGCTCGAATGAACTAAGTGATCCGGATTAGCGCTTTGTGCTACATTTGCGACCGTACGCATTGATATTTAATGAAAGGATTAGCTCAGATTGGTTTGTTGATGCAGGAAATCAGTGACTGGGTAGTGCAATTCATTTTTCTATATGTTATATACAAGATGCAAAACTAAATGCATTCGTGGAGTGATCGAACCGAATGCTTATTCGGCTATCAAACAGAGACAAGTTGTTAAAAAGTTTCAAGCCGCACAGATTTTTGTTGTTCCAAGTAAGTGAAAAGTCGGCGAGTCGAACTATTGAAGGATTAGCACACTACAGTAGATATATAGATGATATCTTCTGTATGACCGATCGTAAAAATGGCATCCTACACGCATTGAAATCATTTAACGAGGCACATCCATCATTGAAATTCATTGTAGAGGTTGAAACGAGCAACATATTGGCTTTTCTGGATGTAGCCGTGTCCCGGAAAGAAGATAGATCAGTGAGACGACAGATCTACAGTAAGAAAAGGTGGAATGGTCAATATACTAACCTCTATAGTTTCTTTCTTGTGAAATATAAATGTACTCGAGTCCGGTGTCTAGCTTTCATAGCCCGGGAGATTTATTCAGCGGACACATTGGATGAAGAACCACGCTTCATCCGTCTAACAGTGCAGGAGAATGGTTATCCAGAAAAGTTCATCGATATGAATAATCGGCTTAATCCGGAGAAGGAAAACCCCATCTGTGTCCCCAAGAACGAACTATTCAAAAGGATCTCATTTAAGGAGGGCTCACACACAGAAAGCCGTCAATGAGAGCGGCCGTAAATTCCACTTTTTCCGCAAAAAAAATTAGACTAGTGTTCTCTCTACATCACCGGTGATGCAAATGCAAGTGAAAGACAAACTGCCGAAACTGGCCTCATCCATGATCATTTAATCATTTAATTGCGTCTGTGGACCATGTTACATAAGTCGTACGGTAAGGCGTTTGTCTCAACGCGTTAGGGAGCAATACCAGCGATGTTTAAGTCAAGGAAAAACCGGCTGTATCTCAAGCGTGATCGTGGGTCATCTCGTCGACACCGGGTACAAGGTCGAACCCGTGAAAGCTTTTGATGTTGTCTGTCGCATTCTATTCAATCGATCAAGGGCGGCTCAAGTTTGGACACTAGCTATGGCCGAGGCGATCGCCATTCTCTTACTAGGCCCTAACCTGTGAGCCCAAAAAGACTGCTTCAAGCGATCGAATTGCCTTGGCCGGGTGTGAAAATCTAGATAGAACATGCCGTGTCACTTGACACAAGTGGGGAAGGTCCGATGAACTAACACGCAAAACATTTTTACACTCACAGACACACACATCCTCTATTCTGTTTGCGATAAATGAAATTAAATTGAGTCAACGGTTATCATTATTTAAGCATTTTTCACTATGTGTTATGTAAGAACACAACTAGGAATATCCGAAAACAATTGTTCGCTCACCGACTCATTTTCTCAAGGCTATCATGGTAGTATTCAAACTTTAGGTGAAGTTTATCTAGTTTTGCGGTTCAATCAAGTATCAGCTCTCACCGATATGTCTCAGATTAAGTTATCATCACAAATTGTCCGGCCTCTCTCCAGAAGAATAATATCGTTTTGGGGAAGTAAGTTAACCAAAACCGTTATTGGTGTTACATCTGAATGTGGTTTGACGAATTGGCGAGAAAAAGTTTCCAAGGATTGAAATTATGGAACCTACCCATGCTGTTTTACATCCACCTATACACTCATCAGCAGACGGACCGCTACACGTGTCGTTACATTCCGGATGACATGGTACACAAACAGAAGATGCCTCCGGTTGGCCGGGGCCAGTTTGAACTGATTCACGAAACTGGGCGTCCTCTTGCAAACGTCGAGCGTATTGGGGCCACGTAAGTAGTGACGAGTTCACAATGACTGGTTCTTTGGAAAATCCGCGAACCGCCTCACAGGTTCGCACGCACAGATGAGAGCCGGCACGTAGATGCTGACATCGTACACACTGATCAGGTCTTGGACCCCAACAACCATTCAGATCACAGTCCGGATGACATTGTGCTCCTGCTTCAGCTGTTGTTGAATAGGGTCCGAATGAACAATAACAAATATTTCACAAAATGAAATCGACCGATATATAAGAAAACTGTGCCAAGGAATCCCAGACAACTTATGTGATGCATATGTTATTTCAAAATTCAGCCAATCTGAACTAAAGAGGTGAAATGCTTTTCCACTTAATAAACCTGAATAGCGAATAAAGTAGGTTTACTGTAGTGATCCGGGCCTACGAGATGACGCATACCCTGAACGGTGCGTTACAGTTTTTGGACAACCGTGATCAATCAACCTTCACGGGTGACGTCAACAACGCGCGTTTGTGTCACTGCTTCTGACTACATGCCATAGGTAGATCGGATCGGCCAATCAGAGACCATGCGGCTCAGACAGAAGAAGAACGATGCCAGGAATTCTGGGACGCGATTGGTGGAAGCTTGGATAACCAAAGAGCCTACTTTGTACAGTTCATTTAATCCCCTTTAGTTCTTCCAATAAACGAACTCATATTCCTGTGGCCTTTTTCTCGCGTCTCAGTTACGTGGGATATTGCGTGCTAGTGCCAGCCAGTGCGGTTCAGTGCTTACGTGATCCAGTCCGTGATTGTTAATCCTTGATTTGTATTCCGTGATTCCTATTGCGCGGTTAGTATTCTGAGTTAAGTGCGTACTACTACCATTGCTAAAATCATTACATTTACGTTGCACAATTTGTATGCGAATATATTTTGTTATATCTCATCAGATGCATACAAAAGAATGTACAGTATGAATTATCACATCAAGCTGACAAAATTACCAGCTTTGTAGTCTTGAGTTACTAACATGGCTTAGTGAGTACAACGAATAATAGATCTCGTGGATTGTGTACACCCCGCACACTGACAGACGAGATCTACCTGCTAAACATGTTTCAGTACTATGGCTACCCAAAGGCAGTGAGTGGTAAGAAGACATTACACTGTACACGAACCAAAATAAATAGCAATATACGTCAGTAAATGCAAGGTTTTCTTACAGCTGCCATTCAAGGGTAAGCTGTTATCACGCAGCCTCAAATCGGCAATCAAACAATCATACACTGCCGACTACCACTACCGGGCTACTGACCAATATGATCAAAGGGACGCCAGCAGACAATGGAAACCCTCGAACAGAACTATATAAGACCGATCCCACTGCGGACTGGCGCTTCCCCGAAGTCGCCCTGATGATTTTACCTGGCTTGCCTACGAAACATCTGCGAACCGCACTCCCAGCTCGGAGAATTTACCAACACCAATATCAAACCTTTCTTCGTAAGAAAGTATGTGGTTCGGTAATTAGAATTTTGGGGTAACAGCTGATAGCTGTCACTATAACATAGCATTTATGGCTGTGCCATCAGACTCTTTTTCTGTTGAACACAATGATAAGTCAGCAGTGTAGGTTATCATCAGTATTATCAACCTGAAGTTGAACGTATGAAAGACGAAGGGGAACAAGCTGCAGCTCCAGGACTTATAATTCTTTATCTTTGAGTACAAGTCACAAATAACGCGTACAATCTAACAAAGTGGCTAAAGGTACTGTTGTATTACTACAACCCATTCAGAGCGAATCAAAAAACATGCTCATGTACCATGGAGACATGGAACGTTGTCGAGTAAAACTAATCTGAAGATCAGACATAGCATATGACATTAGGACTACTCTACAATTTGGTTGGTTAGAATTTCGTGCCATTTCATAGTTGAGGTGCATATGGATTGGTCATGATATTCGGAGGTTTAAAACTTGCCACACTGATCAGGGTCCGCTCCAAGTTCCACGCTTAGCCTGAGTTCAGTATTGAAATCTGTGTAGAAAAGAACAATGAAAACGTATGAATACCTTTGATGATTGAAAAAACTGGATGATCAACAGTTTAATAGAAATTTAAAAAACGCATCTGATACAAAATAAAGTGTTTCGAAAACGAAAAGGTCTGATAAGAAGAGCCCAGTAGAATAGAATTGAGACAACCCGATTTTCATTAAAATATTCACAACAGTTGTGTAACTATTAACATTATTTTCAAGTTTCATTGTTTTATACTTTCACGAGTTGCGCGAAAACAGTTGCGGCTACGACTGAGTCTTTTTATTACACATCCATGTAGGATAAACCACAGATAAGATGAACCCGTAGTCGCGAAGACCTACTGTTCAGCCATGAAGACAAGCAAACTATGCCACCGGAGTTGGTTAAGCGAGCCACATAAGACCCCATTAAGTGAGGTGTGGTATTCAACCGGACAACAGTGAAGCTGTTACTCACAAAAAATAAAAATATTCTGCGTTAAAAAAGGAGATGAGACAAATTTTTATTTTCGCTCCCCTCTGATGCTTTTTCTAAATGTTCACAACTCGATCTTTAAATATCTCACATTCGGAACTCTTAGAGCGCAGATGGAGTTGCACCAACTGAGTCCAAATGTATCGGATAACAAATGTCACCTGACACGTAGGAGACACCACAGCATATTCCGCTACCTGCGACGAAAATTCGGACTTTGATTCGAAATCGCTTCGTCACACTCAATCAATCGGTCAGCCAACCTAGTTCTTTCGTTCGTAGGTTAGCTCGATCAGACAACTTAGGTTGAGCTCACGTGACCAACCGATTAGCCCGCGGATTATTCATATACACCTGTTCGCAGTTGTGAATAATTGAGTCGATGGAGACGCAGTGCTCTCGCACTCAGTAGCCATGCGAAAATGGTGCTGATGTGAGTTTCGCGAAACAGGCATATTTGTTCTCGATCAATTTCCAACGGTCATATTTAGCCAATGCAAGCAAACGAATAGTTGTTGCTAACTAAGAAGACTTTGAGCAGCAGCATTTCCATAAATCCCGAATAAAAAGTTTAACAAGAGTAAAAAAACCCGGTAAATTTAATAAGAAATAAAAAGGAAGTGATAGTGAGAGAAAAAAAGATTGCTACTTAACAGAGAAATAGCGACAAACAGTAGTTTACAATTACGATTGTAATTACCATCATGCACACACAGACGGAAATGGGAATGTAAAAAAGGGTGTACGAAAAAACTGATTAATAGCTGCCCGAGAATTTTTAAAGCATTCTGTTTCTGGGCAATGCGTGTTCTTACTATTT